CTTCTCGTATGCCGCGCACATCAACACTTCTGGCATGTGCTCGTCGTTCTTCACGCCTATCAACAATTCTTGTAGCAACCATTCGTTCTTTGCTATCATCAAACCTCTGACCTATTTCACGTTCATCCTCACTTGCATGAACGAGTGTGGTAAGATCTCCTTGGTCCTCACGGGTTTGAGCGCGTGCGCTAACGTCGCGTTGTTCGTCTTTTCGTTCTTCTCGCCCATGTTCTCGTCGTTTCTCACGATGATCGGTAGCAGCTGATCGTTCTTCGCGTTCTCCAAATCGCTTAACTAGTTCTCTTTGGTCCTCCCGGCTTTCATCTACATGTCCTGTCCTCTCATCAGTATTTCTATTATGAGCTCGTTGTTCCTCACTATCATCAAAAACCCTGTTAGAAGCAAATCGTTCTACGCGATCTTCAAATCGCCGAACTAATTCGCGTCGGTTCTCACGAGTGTCTGCGCGTTCGGTAGCATCTCGTCGTCCATGTTCTTGTATTTCACGCTTATCATCACTCCTCACAATTACTCGCCGCTCATCGTTATTATAGCGCCTGTCAGCAGTGATTCGTTCTTCGCGCTCATTTAACTGATTGTTTTGACCCTGTTGACCGTCATTACTTTTGTCTGAACTGCGCTGTTCCACATGCTCGTTGCCAAGTTTGATGGTACTTACAATGTGTTGTTGCTGATTATCAGATTTGATTGGGCGATATGTCCTTAGTGTGGCATCAAAGTCTGTATTAGTAGATTTCCTGTAAGACGCGTTTTCTCGCAACCAGTTTACATCACCGTTTGAGTATCGATCACTTTCACCTTCGAAACGTTCATAACAATATTCACGGTCGCAAGTGCGAGGCTCAATTCGAGCCAAACTGTTGACTACAAGTAGGTAAATGACAGTTGCCTTCAACTGCCAATACCCAAATCCCATCTTATCGTTTCGCTTTGCTTATTCTTTGCTTATCCTTTTATGTTAGAGTTATAATATTTATATACCGGGGTTTTTTTTAAATGCAGTTTGGTGCACTTGGAATATGTCCTTGTCGGGCTATTCGCTCTGACTTGACTGACCTCCTGAGGGCATTTTTACCGCTTTTATACAAATCGTTAGCCTGCAAAGCCGACACCATTTGCGATTTCGTAGTCAAAGAAGTTCTCCGATTTCTTCCTTCTCAGTGAACTTCAATTTAGCGCTGATTGATTGAATTTTCTTATCGCACATGTGCACCAATGCACTTCAGAGAATAATGTGTATGCATGTGTGTATGTGCGTTTTTGTGTTGTTGTGGTTTTTTGTAATGCTGTATAGAAAATATTAAATATCTTGTTTTATGAATGAACATTTGCAAATCCTTGGCAATGACGTCAATGAAAAGCCTGCTTTGATGGCCAAGGACCTTTGCGTTGTGGAAACAAAAATCGCTGTACACAGTAAATATATTTAAAACGAATCACTGTCAAACTTAAGACTGGACACAATGTACGAAAAAGGCTTTATTTGAATCTTAGAAAAATTTTCTAAAATAAGAATACCTTGTTTATATGATTATTGGATCCTTTTGGACCTTGAGACAAAATACATGTACATTAGGGTGATCCGAAAGTCCAATGCGAGAAAAGTAAAATCGGAATTTTTATGCTCGCGCCCTCTAGCCTTGTTCTATATAATAAAAAAAATATATATATACCCCCTGTTTTTTTTCATTCAAAAAATGTTTAGAGGTCACTCAAAGTTGCCCGTGCTTTTTATATGGGAAAAACTATTTTTCGTA